TCGAGCACAATTTATTACTACTCATAATCATATCAAGGCACTACTCACACAACTTTCTAACTTCGTTTATATAATTCCATTATTTTCCATCGCTTGACTTGATTGGTAGTAGTAGCATTTTCCGTATTTCCGGTATGAGTGATGAGTCGTTCCTATTGCACGTGTTGGGTGTAGACTCGATGAACAAGGATTTAATAATCACCCTCTCTCTCCACCTACCTAGATCATTTTTTAGAATTTTGACTCTGTCCTACCCATCCTATTGTATGGTTGTGTGTTGATGCATGCAGTGCAATTTCTGAGCTTCCTTCTAAATCGCCTATCTTCTCGGAGTCAACCATTCTTACCTTAGCAGAATTCTTATGTTCTGACAATCTGACTACTACTATTACTACTACTGTAGTGAAAGCTGGCTGCTATCCAAATTGTTAGACAGTAATTTACGTCAATGTTTACGTCCTCAATATTGGTCGTGAGAAAAATAAGAACAAAGACTGACTCAACTACCAACCACAGCAGACTGAGTAGGCGGATACAGTTAGCATATAGGTGATCTGACATTCAAGAAACAGCCACAAAGAGATGAAAGATTAACTTTCTGTGAGAGATAACCTATAAGAAGACTGTTTTTTCCTGTTAACAATAATCTATAATAATGTACATGAAAATATATAAATATGTGTTGATTTCCTTAATAAACGATCTGTTGCCTGGCCCTTGTCTTCTGTTGTTACACTACTACAATCAAATAACTATCTTATAAAATTCATTAGAAAGATCAGAAAAAGACAAAAGCAAAATAAAAAGTAATTTTGAAACTAGTGATGATAACATAAATGAGAGAGAATATAAGTCATATACTGTTATACCATTTAAGGAGGGGACATCCGAGAACCTACGTAGGATTAGAGTGGCATTTAAACCTACAAACTCACTCAGGGACCGGTTGACCCAATTAGACAAAGTAATATAATTTACAAAACACCTTGCAATGACTGTGAGTTAAGTCAGCTACATAGCTCAAACTAGTAGATCTGTGGTAGTCAGATTGTTAGAATATCAAAATTTAGCTAAATTTAGAATGATTGATCCAACGAAGATATGTAATTTAGAGAAAAGCTCAGAAATTGCACTGCATGCATCAACACACAACCATACAAAAGAATGGGAGGACAGAGTCAAAATTCTAAAAAATGATCTAGGTAGGTGGAGAGAGAGGGTGATTATTAAATCCTTGTTCATCGAGTCTACACCCAACACGTGCAATAGGAACGACTCATCACTCATACCGGAAATACGGAAAATGCTACTACTACCAATCAAGTCAAGCGATGGAAAATAATGGAATTATATAAACGAAGTTAGAAAGTTGTGTGAGTAGTGCCTTGATATGATTATGAGTAGTAATAAATTGTGCTCGAAATGTCGTCACCAGTAAATATTGCAGTATAACACTCTGAGACTTTATCAAAATAAATTTTACCCATAAGAGTCTTAGGCTAAATTCTTCCAAATGTCAGACTGTTAATTTCACATTCAGATGCAGATGTGACCTATATGAACTGGTTCGTTCGCATGATTCTACTATCACAGATTGCACTTAAGCTGCAACTAGGTCGAATGTTAAATACCTTGCATTATATCTCTCTCATAATTTTTCCTGATATTCGCACACCAAGTTAGTTTCTGGAATGATATTTATATGACCTTCTATGTAAAAAAGTTAAGACGATCTGGTATCACTGTCCCTACTTTTACTGTTTATGTTCTATCTGTTTTTCTTAACTGCTCCTCCTCAATCTTTCTTGGGTAACTTAAGATAGACTTTGCTGCACTACAAGGGGCACTTAAGGCTATCAGTGTCGCTATACCAAATTGTTAATACTGTTATAGGTAGACACTTGAGTGTATGCAAGGAGTCAGCGAATATCATATAGTCAGACTCTTAACATCCTCTTTACACACAACTCTCTCCTTGTATTTCATCAGATACGACTAGCAGTAACCATAGAAGACTTTATGCTCAGACGAATAAGTTTAAAAACTCTAGTATGCTTCATTTGGAGCATATTTTATGTGATGAGAAAAGTGTAGGGTATGATACTACTAACTTACTGAGAAACACTAGGCAAATAGCTCTTCTCACTCTTCCTTTCATTATTATATTGTTAATTAATATTTCCACTTAAATTTTAACTTTACATTTATATTCTTATTTACTTATATTATCAGTGTAAATACCTTGTTAATTATTTCTCCCTTTACTATACAATATAAAGATAAAACTAGATGCCATAGTGTACTACATGCTGAAAATTCCATTATCGTCCCTAAAAGTACTCTTTGCAATCAAGTCAATTTGAACGAAGAATATTCTTTTCAATAATTTCTCGTCAAGTTCTTACAATTATAAAATATAATATTTAGAGCGAGGTTCATTTGTTCCCAAGACTGTGTAGAGAAAGTACTCCAGGTCATCCGGAATATTGTAAGCGAGAAGTTCATTAAAGCCAACATACGTTACAAAAATCGTAAATATGAACTGGCAATGGCGGAGAATAAGCCTCTATTTTTACATCTACAATTCAAGGGAGATACTCCTGCGGAGATTCCATCACAGCGTTTAACCTGCGCGATAAAGAAAACTTTGTGCTCTGCACATCAGTTCTTATCCTTCAGTAGCCGTTCAGTGTTCACTCAGCTACTCAAAGATGTCTTGCCTAACCTAAGCTCTTCTTCACGTGTTATATAAGCTGCACGATTGATCAGGTTTGTCAACGGGTTCGAGAACATTTACCAACTTGATTCAGCAAAGGGTAAATTAAGTGCATAAAAACTCGATCCTGTGTCACTTGATCGATACTGCACATCGCATCGATGTCAACACAGCTTTCAGGGTTATATACCAAATTCCGAAGTCGTTATCACGTACTGTTCGCATACGTCTGCTACACACAGCTGAAGTTGTTACAATAAGATCTACTAAACCAGAACTTTGTATCTAAAAATAACACGTGCTGATGCTGCTGCTACTGTGGCCAAACTTGGATTAATGATTCTTCTTCTCAACAAGAGTGCCTCTTTCCCTTAACTCTCTTGTTTTCTTTCTTTGCTTATTATTACAATTATTTTGATGTGGTTGTGTTCTCTGAGCTGGATAGTTAATTTGCGAAGCTTTCATCACCCTACTAGGTGACATCTTCAGCGCATACTTCAATTTGAAGTGAGCTTTTAGATTTCTCCTAGTTAATTTAAAGAATGAACCACTGTCAATGTATAGACGATATATTTCTGATTATTAAAAATGAGAATGAGGCAGCGAACATCCTGGACAAGTTCATTGATGCGTACTCAGAAATTAACTTTGCCATTGAGAAAAGAAGGAATGAAAGTATTATATTCTTAGACGTAGTATGCTAAGGAGTGCATACAGAAAGCCTACAACAGCAGGTCACTACACTCATTTTTTGAAATTTGTACCTTAGAAATGTAAATCTCAAATTCTATAGATTACTACTGTGAAATAACAATTTACCCAATGAACTATTTATAGTAAGTGGTTTAGATGAATAAATAGTCTAACTTACTGTAAATTATTGAGCATTACTAAATAAACCAAAGTAAGTCAGACGGCATCTATTTTTATTTTTTTATTATACCTCTTTGCACTTTCCATTGGCATTACAAACGGATGTTGTGGACGCAAAAGGAAGTTATAAACTATTTCAACTTACCTTAATAAATCTATTTTGTTCATCGAGAGAATTTTAATAATACTAGTCTCAAAAGTCTGTAAGTAATTATATATATATATATATATATATATATATATATATATAGAATAAATGAACAGGTGACTGAACACCTTTCTCAAATAACTTTAATGTGATTTCTCAGAAAATCAAACTTATCATATTTTATACACACGCGCGCGCACACACAAAAATAGTGAAAACAATTAAACAAATAAGTTAAAACTGTAGAAAAAAGTATAAAAGATAATTAGAAAAAAATGAAAGTAATGCTAAAAATAACTTAATTCAGTCAAAAAATCTGTGCTTAAGTAAGCAAATATCTAATAAACATTAATGAACAGTCGACAGCTATAAATCTACTGAAGCTCTCTCTCTCTATTTATTATATTTTCACTTCCCGTAATAAATATGGTAGTATTTAGTGGTGTATGTAGTAGTAAGGTGAATGTTGCTGGGGGTGGGGCGGGGGGAGTCATACTCCGTAAACATCTAACTAACAGTAACAAATGGCATGTTTATAAGTCATTGTGTTTACGAAAGGTTTATATAGTCATTATAACCTAATTTGTTTTGGTATAATTTGTTCTTGTGATATGCTAACTGCAACTTCTTAATAAAATAAGTTTGGAGATTTATGGGTGTGTTAAATTCCTCAGGGTGTAAAGCAAATAATTAAATAAATAAAATGAAACTGGCAGTGGAGAACATTTTACTGAACCCCATTTTAAATAATTTTGTTTAACAATTAAATGATTGAATGGTGGAGTGGGTCATGAGCTGACATCAGTTAGAGAACCACTAGAAAACCTGGGAGTACTGGACAGCTGCTTCATCCTAGTTTCGGACTCTTCAGCAGTACGCACCCACCCCACCAGGGTTTGAACCCAGGACATTCTGGTTACAAGGCTAGCGGGCTCGTAGACCATTGAGCCACTGGGACCCGATCTAATAGGCCATGAATTCCAACTTCTACCAATTTACGACATAGCGTGACCATTTCGCAATGTGTTCTTAGATGAGTTACTGCCTCATCTTCAACCTTCTGTACCCTACTGGTCACGGCTTCCAACTAGAACAGCTTTCCAGTACTCTCTGCAGGTTTTCCAGTGGTTCTCTAACTGATGTCAGCTCATGATGAACTCCTCCATCCAATCAAACAAAATCCCTACAAAACTAATACTTGAAAATTAAATAATTTATAATATAGAAAATCATAATGCTGACAACAGAAATATCACTTCTTACCTGCTACTGTTGGTAGCATAAGAGCTTGACGCTTCTCTTTCATCCTCCTGTTTTGGAACCAAACCTGAAAAGAGGAATGTAAACATATTCAAGTTAAACAAGTTGGGATAGAATGCAGGATATAGTGTTTAAAAACTCAGCTTATACTATATAGCAGAAATATTCGTTCAGACATCTAGAAAAAACAAAGAAATTCAGCAAAGAATATCCTTTTCGATAATTCTCTCTTCTGGTTCTACAGTTATACATGTGTTTATATACCTAGAATATTCTAGAATAATCTTCATTAACAATATCGGTGTTTTTAAATACTATCGATATGTTAAGTAAGATCAATGGAATCACAGTTGAAGAAAGACACTTAAGTTATAGTAAGCATAAAAATGTAACAACAAATAGAATATCAAGCAAAATTAGGGAAATTTCCACAACAAACTGGGTTCATTGAAACCTTGATGGTCAAAGTAAGGATTGTGCCTGAACCAACTTCTTTTGGATACATAGGTTAGGTTTCTTAATGTAGATGCCAACAGCCAACCTCAGCAATATGTAGCAGACGAACTCTTAAGAAGGTAGAATTAAGATTAGATGGTATGTAGCAGATGACTTTGAAAGCCTCGTCAATATCAACCTTGTACTTCGTATTCACGAGATGAGACTGAATAGACCTATGAATGGCTTTTGTTTAACACTTACCAAACCGCGCAGGATGAGGTTCAGAAATCCGACGATAAACACGCCTAATTGTATGGCCTCTGTAACTGGTTCCTCAGGAGCAGTCAAATTTGCAGATACACATAGAAGAGGCGAAACTGGGCGGTTTGTCTTTGACTACAGAACGCAAAACAGGGATGGTTTTGAAGACACAGCATAATTCAGCGGCACTGTATGTTCTCGTGCCGCCGTACTCCTTAGGCGCTGTGTTAATATTTCACTGATGTTATCGTCGAAGAAATGAAGTTTTAGGAATAAGGTTTTTTTTGGAACTGTCGGTACCTTGGCCCGTCTTGACTTTTGATTCATATTCTTATCGGCGATTTTTCTGGGTAACCGTTCTCACTCAGCAAGTGTTTGATAACATTAAGCTCTTCATTAGGACACTGATCAGAGCAGATTTCTCTTACTCTGTGGATCAAGAACTTTATTAGATCGCGTTTGTATTTCAAGGGCACAAAGCTGAAGAAATGAGTATACTAACCGTTGATTAGGTTTTCTATACACACTTCTTCTGTTTGTACCTTCCTGTTTGCTAATTGTAAGGATGTTTGAAAACGAAATACTAGAGTCTTTTCTTTCTTATTGCCGAATAAACATCTTTAGATTTGTCCAGGACGTTCTTTGCTTCGTCCCATTCTTAATAATCAAAAATATAACATCCATGTACCGACAGTAGAATTCTAGTTCATCACTTGCATCTTTCAAAGGCCAATTCTCTAGTCTCGCAAAAAATGTCGGCTAGAATGGGTTCTAGTGGCAACCCCATTGCCACACCATCATTTTGTCTGTATAATTCCTTATCACCCTGCTAATCAACTATGGATACATTCTACCTTGATGTTTGCAAACTAAAATTATATTTCATTCTATGAACCCTGCTAATAAAATACAAATAACATTAGCATCGGATAGCCATTTACTGTATCTTAGGTCAACAAGGAGATTCAATCACCGATAAATGTGTGAAAGACAAAACAATCCATTATCCATAAAATTCATCTTCTTTGAATTGGTGACAATATTTTTGAAAGCATCAGAAAGCGGTAACGTATTAGAGAATCATTAAAAAGCACTACATACTTAGCATTTAAAGTCCCTTTGATATATATATATATATTATTTGGTATCCCTAATGTTTATATCATATGCATTTCTCATGCAATGAAGAGTAAAGAAGCAGGGAAAAAGGTCAGGGAAAAATTATTATTCGTCTGCCTTCATAAACAAGAATAAAATCTTAAAATGTATACTTCTGAGAATGGCCATTGCTCCAAGGATTATTTACGTGCAGCACGCAAGTCATCAACATTCTATATCTACGAGAACATATTCCGGCATGATTCTACAAGGGAGAAAGGAAATGTGTGCGGAGCTCTATTCTAGAACACCTGATCGACTCCTGTCACTCTGCCAACCCTGACCATGATTTTAAGATCATCTACCAAATCCATGTTCACTTGCCAGCCGCGTTGTCGTCATTGCAGACTTCTAAAGACAGCGGAGGCCTTGGTAATTCATGGCTTTAAGCCAGACTTTTGTGCACAAAAGCAGTATGCGCAATTCATACTTCTGCCTTGGCCGTAGAGGGATAGACATTTATTTTTTTTGTTTATTTAGTTATTCTCTATACCTTTCCCTTATTACTACGATTATCATTATTATTATTACTATTCTCACTCTGAATTGTTTCCTCTTGTCGCACTTGCCAGTTTAAATCCAATTTTTTTAAAATTTTTACAATATTGAATTCTATCTTATCAGATTTCACACCATGTTATGTAACATTTTATATTCGCCTACTAATTTTATAATTATGCACCCCTTTCTAACATCTGTACACCTACTTGAGATTTAACTATGATTATAACCACAAATATTTTAATTGTATTTCATAACATTTTTATTTCATGTATTCACACCTTCGAACTAATTCCCTCACCGGATATAATTTCTTAAAAGCCATCTATATATGATTGTACAGCTTGATAATAAATTCGTTGAAAAGAGTCTCTTCACTGGATATTGTGTGTTCTTAATCTACATAGCTATCTGAAGAAGTGCGATTGTATGCATTGTGGTATGCATTCACTACACAACCCCTTTTTGTCTAGGAAGGTTGGTAAAACAAAAAAAAATAGTGACTTTACCGAGACATAGTGGAAAATGTATCTCTCCATGCTTACCACCTTATATTTCCACCAACGGAGGAGTATAAAACCACTTCGTCAATATCAATATCTTGATATTTGACTTCAGGTCAAACAATTCGTGGATTTGGAAGGTAGACTCACTGGTTAGCAGCGTAAGCTCATTACATAAGGACACTAATAATAATTCTGATGTTGGTAGATAGATTTTCACAAAAATAACAACCAGTTAGACGATAAAGCGGTAAAATCCTATAAACATTGTGCAGATATCCCAATAAATGAAGTCTATAATTCAGTTATATATGAAACTTTATCAGCTATGATACATTATTGTTACTCACCTTTATTGTATTCTCTGGAAGATCAAGTTCATTCGAAAGTTTAGTTCTCTGTGGTCGACTAACATACCGATCCATTTGATATGTTTTCTCTAACAATTCAATCTGTTTCTGTGAATAACTTGTCCGATAACGTTTTGAATGATCGTGTATTTCTTCTTCTGTCTTTAAATCAATTGATCTATGACGCTTTCTTTGTGATACACACGAATGAATACTTTTCTTCAGCGTATCTCCAATCATTTGACCATTAAATGAAATTGACGAAGACTTGATCTCTTCTTTTGTACTTCTAATTTTTTTATTATTTGTTATTCTGTCTTCATAATGAGTTTTATGATTTTGTATTGTATTTGTGACAAATTGTTTGCTTGTTGATGTATCACATAATCTAAGCATTTCTTCTGATTTGTCAGAGTTAGAATGACTAGGATATTGGGATTGTTGTGATTGCAGTGTGTGATGAAAGTGAGGATAGTATGGTGGATGTGGATGTGAAAATATTTCTTCATATGTACGAGAATCATCTTTCTGCTGACTCCGACAATGCCGCTTAGAATCATGTGAAGACTTCGGAGAGTTCAAGGAGCATGTGTATACGTCATCATAGGTATTTTTTTCAAATGGAAAAATCACTACACTATCCACATCACTTTTATTATTTCTATCATTGAAACTTAGTGCTGTCGATTCACGATAGGCTGTGCATAGAAACTTTTAAAATCATTGGCTGCTGAGCCTGAATATGTCACATTACTCGTATTATTGTTATTATTATTATTATTAGTAGTAGTAGTAGTAGTATGAGGTAGTGAGTAATCAATTTCAGGCAATATTGTATTCATTAAAGCATTATTAGTTTGCATAAAATCCGACTGCTTATTCAACTTTGTTGTAAGTTCATTGAAAATTGCCAAAGTAGAAGAATATGACAATAATGGTGAAAAATAGACGTTTTCTGAAAGCATATTAGGTCGAAAAGATGATAACGACGATGAAGCTGCAAAAGTAAAGCGAATAAACGAATTTTGATCTGTAAATAACTTGAATTTTTTAAACCAGACCTTTATGCCATATAACTACATACAAATATTCCTTAATTTTTCTCAACTCTGACCAATTTGACCAACTATAGGTTTCAATCGGTTACCGCTGATTGGAGTCATGCAACATCCGTGATTCACTTGTTTACTTCATCGGGATCTAAGCATTCCATGGAGGATTTCATCATGAACTGACATCAGTTAGAGAAGAGTCCCAAACTAGGACGGGTGAAACAGCTGTCCAGTACTCCCAGGTTTTCCACTAGTTCTCTAAATGATGTCAGCTCATAATGAACTCCTCCATACAATCAAACAAAATCCCTACAAAACCAATACTTGAAAATCTAAGCATTCATTGAGTGTGATCCTATTAAACAATATTCGATTTGCTTTCTCACATTATAATTTAGCACAAAGTCATATCGAATCAGAATGATAAAAACAAACAATTGGTGTAAATAACCTCAGTTATAATTGCATCGTACACTGTAACAAATACACTGACATTGAGTTTATCTCAGAAAGCTTTAATGAGTGACGGTAGAAATCGGAATCGAAATCGGAGATTTTAGACAGATAGACTACCTGCAACCATTTGACCTCATTTCAAGCAAAACTAGCCTTAAATTCACCAGACTGGTGAGCTTCATATTAAGATTAACCGATTTTAGCTGTTAGTGAGTATCTCTTTAAGGAGCTTACTAATGAAGCATAACACAATGTGCCAATGAGTACTTCTAAATACAAATTTCTATGAAAGTCCTTTCTTATTTTGTGGCCAGCATAACACTCAAGCATTCAGACACTGGTGACTTGATTTCAAAAAATTTAAATCAACGAGAGAGAGTTACAGTTCTAAACTTAGTTAATGTATATATAAAGTTCATAAAAGTTAAAAATAAATCATCCCAAGAATTACGCTTAAATGATGTCATTTTACATAGAAAATCATATAATAATAACAACAATTATTATTATTATTATTGTATCCTTTAGTTCCTAGAGGAACATAGGGCTTCAGCTGAGCACCTCCATTGCCTTCGGTTTTCTGACAACTTTTTCACCCTGCTCCAGGTCTGTCCACATACTTTCATCTCCTCCTCGCATGACCTCCTCCAAGTCACCCTTGGACGACCAACTCGCCGCCTCCCTTTCGGGTTCCACTCGAGGGCTTGTCTAGTGATACTGAATGGAATCCTCAGCATTTCACGACAGTATTGCATCCAGGTAGTACATTAACAATAAATAAAACTCTACATAGATTAAGGGTAATCTTGGTTAGTTTTGACAACAACATATTAGCATATCGGTAGCAAAGCCAACACTGAATAGAGTGTTTGGTGTTAAAAAAGTAGATGGTGGCATATTTACTGGCGTAAACGGTAACAAAAAGGTCAAGATATAGGTAGTGTGAAAGAACGAAGAAGAATGTTTTAAATAGAGTTTGCAAGGAAGAGAGAAACAAAGCAGCACATAACAACAAAAAGAGGAAAGGAAAAGAAAGGAAAAAAAAACGTTGTACCTATAATTGATATGAATTGGAAAGACGAGATCCAGTTGTTCTACTGACTGTTTAATAAGTTATAGGTTATCGAGATTAAAAACCACCTACTTTCCTGAGTGTTACTTTTCACTAGTGCATTAATGTAATGTATAATGCACCAGTCATCAGTCGTAATTCGTCTCGCTTCATACTCAGTAATAATAAGGATATAAATTTCTTTTTTTTAAAATACCTCATAGAAGGTGCACGATAACTTTGAAATAAACGTCTAATTGTGCTACGGCGGATAGATGAGTTACTTTTATTAACACTTAGAATTAAGCAGGGAAAATACACTAGTCTTTTTTACCTACCAGTTGTAAAACGAGACATTGCCGTAGGTAATTAATCCAGTCTTTTGATTAAATTTCAATAATAATTAAGAGCGTATATTATATTTGTATATGTGTGTCCCACTTAAATAGGCTAAATTACACCTTTTCTTTTTGTCATTTGTAGGAGAAAATAAATACACCACGGTGTGATCAATCTTCCTGTAATAATTTCCCTGCCTCTCTCTGTGGTCATGATGATTTCTAAAATATAAAGATAGAATGTAGTCATACTCCTCTTAACAAAATTTGATTGGTTGAAAACAAAATTATCTTTATGTTATTCATACCTTTCACTCCTCTGATTGAAATTTATAAAGGACAAATAGGGGACAGGGATAACTTTTATAGGAGTAGGGAGGAAGGGACAGTTGACAATATTGTAGCACAACTTACCGTCATGAGAATTAAGGGAAGAAATCACATCATAACTACATTGGGAACAGAATAATTAAACTCCCCTAGTGTATTCTTTTCAATAATTTCTCTACTTCAGGTTCTTACAATTATAAAATATAATATCTGTTGTCGTTACAATAAAGGCCAGTTGTTATACGGCGGATACATTTTTTACGTAGAATAACAGATTAGTTATGGGGTATCAAAATAAATAGTCGTGTTTGTGTAACAGACGTGCTAGTTGGCTGAAATCGATTACAAAATATTGTAAAACGGGAAACAATGATGGCGATTAAACATAGTAGATTCGTAGAGTGGTGGGGTAAGAAAATTGACAAATGAGTTCAAGGTTATAAAAGGTGTCAGGTGATTGAGTGGCTAGTACAAAGTGGTCTGTGTTAAACAGGAGATAGTAAGAATGCAATGGGACTGCAATGCTGAAATGTTCAGGTTCTGTTTTTTTCCTGGTTTTCTCCAAGCTTTCAGCAAGTCATAGGGCATCAAAAAGGCTCGATTTACTGAAACGTGACAATATCCCAAAAAACTGCTCCCGAGTTACCTTTCAAGAGATAGACAACGTTGAAGGAAGCATTTTGAGGACAACGCCCAAGCTCAGCTGAATGAGATGTAGATTGTAGTCCACCATATGTGTAACCGAGGTTACAGAGACTAATTTGAAAAAAAGGTAAAAGTAACAGGATGTGATGTTTAAAAGACGGTCTTGGTAACAGATTACTGTCTAGGCTAACTAAAGTATATTAAGCAACATCTGGAAATGAGAGACCGGTGTAATTTGTTGATTATCCCCGTGTACAAGAAGGGAGAGAAGTTTTCTTGTGATAATCATGGGCGGATTATCTTGACTGATATGTGATCTCTAAAGTTTTTGTATCAGGCGTCTGTGGCACAGCAGTTAGGACGGTCGCCAACCATGCACATGGTCCGGGGTTCGATCCCCGGCCATAGACGCACTCCTTTACCTCGCTAAGCCAGAAATAACGCTGGTAAAGAGGAAAGGTTGAGCATGAGGCTAGCAACCCCATCCTGTAAAATAAATACTGCTACAGAAAATTCAAGCCACTAGCTTGAAGCCCTATGTTCCACTAGGAACGTGAAGGAAAAAAAAAGAGACTGCAATGTAACGACAACAAATATTATGTTGTATAACTGTAAGAACCTGAAGTAGAGAAAGGCGAAGTTAAACTTTCGACACCACTAACTACCAATCAGCGAATCCAATGAGATTCACGAACCATGTCGAATTATCCAATGAGGTTCACGAACGCAGTTCAATGTTGTATAGCGCTTGATTCATTTCTAATGCGTGACCTTACAAGGCTACAGTTGCAATTCGAGGAGGTTATTGTTTTCCACTATTTCCTGGATTTGAGTTGCTCCGGAAAGAGCGAATTTGTTTGTGTGGTGATATCATTACTTTAAAAAGCTATACCAAATCAACTGATGGGTTTGTTCATCTGGAGAGGGTAAGCTGATAATTTGATTATTTCGTAGGAACTTACTTTCGCTAGGTCACATCTCTCCCTAACCCAGATTTTGTATATCTGCAACTAATGGGTGTTGAAACAGGCTGTGAGAGCAGCAGCTGCCGAGATGGAGAATAGCCATGTCTCAACAGTTCAGTGGTACCAGCACTGCAGAGACATCGCATCATGGAAAATGGGGAAAATCACTTGTTTGCTGGGTGGGGAAGACGTTATCGTGCGTATCGATGAAACAGTGCTGGTAAAAAAGAAATACAACCGTGGTCGCCAGCGTGCGAACAATATTTGGATAATAGGTTTGTATGACACCTCCCCCCGAAAGGGATTCGTCGAAAGGATAGCAGATGGAAAAGCATTGACAATCCCATGCTAAACTGGGAGATGTTTCTCTCACATGTTCGAGAAAGATATCCCATGTAACTTTTTTATTCTCTATTTTGTGCTTTTTTTCTATAAATACACATTTCCATTCATCATATATGCCTCTTTAATGAAATTGGTTCGTTCAAGGTCGTTTGCTGATTGGTTGTTAGTGGTGTCTAAAGTTTAACTTTGCCGTGTAACAATTTCAAGTGTGAATCAATTCACATAACAAACATAGAAAGTGAAACTGACAGAAAGTGGACGACAGAACACATTCGAAGAAGTACATTGTAACGTGAACATTCAATCTGTCATATAATTCATAATTTGTGAAGTTAAACATGAACTGGGATCAACTGAACAGTTACAATAAATATTTTTAGTTTTTAGTAGTTTTCAAAAACATTGTTGACTAACTTCAAGTGTTGGTTTGTAGGGATTTGATTGGTTTCACGATTTCATCATGATTTCATCACGTTGACTAACTTCATACAGTTGGTTCCCTTGATAAATTTCGATAAAGAAAGAAAGAAAGATGAAATTTGCAGTATAAAATGATACCATCATTCTATTTCACAGGTTCTCATCAGTTGCACACCATTACCTGAAATTACAATGTTTATATAGATGATAATCACATACTTTAATGTTTCAGTGGTAGTAGAGAAGAGATACTATAAAATTGAAAGCATCACAATATTTAGTTTAAGATTTCATCATCAATTTATACGCTTTCAAAGTTGAAAATTGGAAGGGGAAGGGGTAAGACAGAAAACAGAAGAAATTAACAAACAGTGTTAGTTTGTAGGTTCACATAGCAACTCCAAAAACAAAGGCGGTTACAATTTATGAGATTAAGATTTGTTCAGTGAGTTGAGATCACTGAATTAGATGACTAATTATTGTAATCAAAATCAAAATTCAGTTACCAAGGGAGTGAGAGGTAAATCACACTCTCTTTCTCTATGCATAAGTCTGGTTGGTTTAAATCGTTTGATTGTGATCACTTCGGCAAATCGTAGTAAATTTTCTGTCCTTTATCTATTTAATATTTTGAAGGACTTAGAAATCTCTACGAGATGTCCGGTATCAGCCTTGTTGACTAAAATGGAGTCATCGAAATTAGAGTCTGTTTGAATGGAATGTCATTATTAGGCAAGGAGGATGTTTTCAATACAATAAATTCTCTGCAGTTCGTTTGTAAGGGTTAGTTTTGTTTTTAGGAGTTGTTCACGAATTGATATCAGTTAAAGAACTACTGAAAACGAGGAAGTAATGGGCAGTTGTTCCATCCTAGTTTAGGAATCATCGACAGTACGCACCCACTGCCAGGTTTCGAACCAAGGACCTTCAGGTTGCAAGGCAAGCTCTTACTGCCGATGATTCCCAAACTAGGATGAAACAGCAGCTGTCCAGTACTCCCCGGTTTTCAGTGGTTCTCTATCTGATATCAATCCGTGATCAACTCGTGAAAACAATGAATTAATTCTCTTCTACTAGTACAAATCAAAATGTAGCTTAAAATGGTGGTTAGGTATTGAGGAGTAAGTAAAAGGGCTATTGCTATTCAGCATAATGACAGTAAAATGGTAAGTCAAGATGTATACAGGGATATGATGAAATTCCTCAAGCACAGGAACAGAGCTGGAGTAACTGAAGTTAGGGAGAATGAGACAAGCGTGTTGGTATGAATTACTTGCCAGCTATGCTATTTGTCCGAGGTCCAACCGCCAGCCAACACACTTCTAAACCTCGAGTAGCCAGTAGTAAACTCAATAAGACTGGAAGGTTGTTTGTGAGGCTATCAAACCAGCTCCTTAAAATGAATTATAATTATATTTCACTAGTTGACACACAGTGATAGATTTTTTGCTTTTTGGTAATATTTCGAGCAAAACTGTTGCCCATAATGACACCAATTGTTGGAATTGTTTTGTTTTAATTCACACACTTATGATTTGTACTCATATATATATGCCACTGAATTGGTGAAATCAATTACTGATCTTAAAGGAACATTGATTTCGTGTATCTTCGGTCTTCCATTATATTTCACGGCCGTGTTTGTTTTGGGAGCTATTGAAAACCAAACTGAATTCCCTAGTTTTGGTTCCAGTTCTCTAAGTAGATTACATACTTGTGCTTTTACTTTGTTCATAGTACTAGACATTTTGTTTATTGGTACTAGTGCTTATGGACCTGCTTCGATATGTTCCAAAGCTTTCTTGTCATAGTAATCTTTATTAAGAATCACAGTGATATTGCCTTTTGGTCAGCTTTAACAATAGATTTGTCTGATCTTAATGTTTGTAAAGCATGAAATTCATCCGTTGACAAATTTGGGATGGCCTGCTTTGGATTCAACAGGATACATCCAACCTTCTGACGTGATTCATTAGCTTCATCATCAAGTAAAAGTGTTAACATCGCTTCCGTGATAGGAGCTATTTCTATGTATTATCATGCTTATCACATGTGAATTGACGTCTTTTCCATATGACAAATAACATACACTCACACACACTCATACAAAACTAATCCTTACAAATCAACTATAGAGAAATATACACAATAACAATTTGACATTATTTATTGCAAATATCTGTGATGACTGCTTACATATTTCTATTGGTACAAATGTCTGTGGACGAGTTACCTTCAAATAAACTGACTTCAATTTGTGTAAAAATTTTTTGACTTTATATTTTGATGATTAATAAAATCCGAATAGATCTACTGAAGAAGCTGTGGCTTACTCGGTGAAACATTCAGAAAAATCTTGTTTTGAATTTTTGTAAAACACGTTGGGATTAATTGAAATAATTAATAAGGAATTCATCTGATTCAGCGCT